GTGTGTGTGTGTGTGTGTGTGTGTGTGTGTGTGTGTGAGTGTAAATTGCCATCGGACCCACAGCTAATATTATTTCAATTAAAATCCTTCTGGAAGAGGAAGATTTTGACCCGGCGGCAAAATGTCATCAGCGTCGGTGCCAGACGAATCTCAGTTGGGAGGGCATTCCATAGTCTGGGGGCAGCTGCCGAAAAGGCCCTTTGTCTACAAGCCGTCCCTCTTACCTCTTTGAGGGACAACTCTTTCAAAAGGGCTCCCTGGCTAGAAAAGGACTTTTAAGCCAAAAAAATGCTTCTCATTAAAAAAAAATGGGGAAGCAACATTTGGGTTGAGCAGGGCTGCATTTGAGCCCCAGGATATGTATCCTATTGGCTGCATGTTACCTATTGTACCTTATATCTGTTTCACTTCTAAGCCAAGGATGAGGAATGTGTGGCCCACCATGAGTAGAACTGCCAGCACTCTCAGCCATTGCTCATCCTGGCAAGGGCTAATGGGGGTTGGAGTCCAATATCTGGAGGGCCACAGGTTCCCTCTCTCTGCTTTGGCCAGTACCCGATGCTGATTCACAATTTCTAACAGCCTTCTCATTCTACTGTTTCTACTTCAAACAGTATAAACACACTAAGGGATGAAACAGAGAAGATATCTCCTAATTCCTTCTGGTATAAAAGAAATATATATATATACATTTACTCAAGCACAATCATGTCATCTTCTTCTGGTTGCTACACAATGGTAGAGGGTTTTACTGTACTTAACTGGGGCTTGTTTTTGGGGTAGGGCTTATATGAGTATCTTGAAAAATCATACTAGGACTTATTTTCAGGTTAGGTCTTATTTTCAGGGAAACAGAGTTCTGTACCTGGGAGGGAGGAAGGTGGGGCCATGATGTGGGAAAGTAAGAGGGGGCATGGTCTTTTGGGGAAATGTGAGTTTCAGGTAAGGTAGTGTCCCTGTTTGCCCTCAAAGACCAGCCTAATAGACCAGGATGTACCTGTAGAGGTCATCTACACAGAACAATGTGTGATGTCATAGACCCTCCCGCGGCTGGATCATTTTTAACAACAAGTCCTTCTATTCCTGTATTCCCCTTCTCACTGAAACCAAATAGATGCACATGGGAAGATGCCAGATAGGACATCAAGCCAATAGAGCTCCTCTATTGTCAGTCTCCTGCATCTGGTCTGCAGAGAACATATGAGAGGTATGAAAACATATTTGTTTTCCATAACAAGCAGAACTCTTATTGCACATAGAAAGCTAATATATCAGGGGGGAAAAGGCCAAGGCAAACCTCTGAGCTCAAGTTTTTTACATGGAGGAACTGGAGATGTTTTACATGAGGGAAGTATTTAAACCTGCAGATCCACATTGAGATCAGATGAGCATATAGCTCACTATTTGGTTCACTTTTGGTGTGGTTTGGTTCACCATATTTTCTGGTGACTGTATGCAACCGTACATAAGAGTGATCCATCTTGTCCCTTTTGTGAACTGTTCTGCTCCTTTCTGGCACAGCATCATGGCTGTAGTTTATTCAGTGAGATGGGGAACACTCCTGATTATTCTGTTCTGCAGCCTGGGTAGTTGCTTAATTCACTCCCACATAGAGCTATGGGTGGCATTCTCTCCAGTGACAACTCTGTGAGGTATGCAGTGTGTTGTGGCAGTAGAAAGGATGGCAGAGAAGCCCTCTCCTCTATTTTCCTCTTTTAAAATTTAAAAAAAATATTTTAAACAATGCAGTGCTATTTAAGATATAATAGAGTATTCTTGCTAGATTGATGTACTGCTGTAGCGCTATGACTGTAGCAGGCAAAGATCTTTCTCTTCAGGCAAGCTTTCCCTTAGTGACTGGCTGCCTGAGTGGGGTTCTTAAATGGATGTTTCTGCCCTACTGCTTTTAATGTGTTTTTGGGTGTTGCTTTGTTTACTGTCTTTTAGTGTGGTATTTGCTTGATTCTTTTTAATAATTGTAGACTTGCTGTTATTAGTTATAAATATTGCCCTTTCTTAGCTTTCAATGATGTAAACCATCTTGGGTCTTTTTTTAAGGAGAAAGGTGGAGTAAAAACCTTTTAAATAAAATAAAAATTTAAAATGACACTTACTAAACTGAACCAAAAAGGTTGCTGTTGCCCATGGAATAACAGCTGTAACAAAAGGTGGGGAAAGGGGCAGAAGAGGGAGCCTCAATAATTGAAACGGTGGGAAATAGGAGCAATCTGAAGTTCTGTCTGGATTCTTCTCATAGAAGAAGAACCTTCTCCCATGTGAATGGAAGGATCTCTCATGTGGGAGAAGCTAAGAGTCTTTTAAACATGACCCAGATAGCTTCAAATTCCTCCCTCTAGTCATGTTCTCACTCCCTATTCCATCCTTGATCACCTCCAACCCCACTTGGTCTGAGCTGAAATACCTCCAACAGGACTGAGCTGGCTGATTAATTCAAATGCACAAATAGACACTGCAACTGCTGGTAATATTAATGAACTGAAAAAAAACAGCCTGTCTATTTTATCTCCTGTTTATACATAACTTATAAAGGCTTAAGAGTAATCAATAGACATTATCTACGATCCCTATTAATAATATATCAAGAGATGATTACAAGCATGGATGAGTGGAGCATAAGATCATGAGAATTCTATAGCTACCTAATACCTTTGGATCAGTCATTTGCTACAAACAATCTATAAGCATCGATTTGCTGCTACAAATATGCAGATTTACTTTCAATTGCATTAGTAATGGAAACCTCATGCCCAGAATAAAAGATTCAAATCTAGCAAGGCATTTGACAGATCAGCATATCTGATTCAGGAGTACAGATCAGCAGCGTACTGTGCAAGCATAGCTAAATGTCAATGTGTGAAGTACTCAGGGGATGACTGGGTAAGGCAAGATCACTGGATGCTTAAACACTCATGAAATAGCTAGATGAAACTCACTACCGTTGCTTGTGTGATTTCATATGAAATCTTGGTTCGGGGTTGTGCAATTTTCAAACAAAATATTATGAACAACAAATATCTTTTCTTGTTTTAGGCAGTCTGAAAAAACAAAAACCTAAGATTTATAAGATGAGTATTTCTTTTAAAAACAGGTTTCTTGCTCCTTCCTTATTAGTGGTATAAATAAAAGAGCAGATGATTCATAGTTTTTCCATTTTTAAAATGGGAAATGCAAGAGGAAACATTGGACTGAACCTAGCGAACAACAAATATCTTTTCTTGTTTTAGGCTGAACCTAGGCATACTTAGAGGAGACACACTAAAATTGAAGGAACTTTAGTTATGACATTTCTCGTCATTTCCAGTTTATTGCAAACCCATGAAGTGATGATCTCCAAAATGTCATGTCGTT